CATCACCAACAAGGCTGCCGAGATGCAAGAAACATATTCACTCAGGGGCGGCTAGCGATAATTCGGCCGAAGGATCAATGAGATCGTCCCCGTCGGTGGGAAGAACTAGTGCCAGTTGTGTCTTCCAAAAGAGCCACGAATTCCTCATATCCCTGATAGCATCCGCAAGTTGAATCAGCAGTTGGATGCCACAGAAGAAACCCCCTCTCACAGGAACCCACTCGCCTTTCCGAGTGTTCGCGATTCCTTGCCGCCCTCTTCACCAATCGGCCGTTTGGCCAATCGCAGCAGTCGTGACCTTCCAAAGGCCACAATACGATTCAAGTCCTTGATAATTGTATAGGCATAACACTTGTGGTAAATTGAGGATCTGACACAGCGTGATCCAATCATCTAGACCAACCAAGATACAGGATGATGATAAAATCCGATCGAGTCAGAAGTAAGTAGTTGCCTTCTTTGCCTCCTCGGTTCGACATCAGACATTGCCAGGATGTATCCTGTATCTTGCATGAAGTGTGGCACCTCCCATCCCTGTGCCTTTCATTTGACCGGTCTATAACGGTGTGATGCCTGCCAAACCCTTCGGATCCGAATAATCTACATTATGCTACTTGATATATGCTAATGATACTTTAGCGTCGTGATAGACAACGATAGCATCCCTTCATATTTTAGGGTTACTTGACCACGAGACTATATCTGATTCAAGACCGTCACAGCAGCGGCTAAGGCTGGTGTCACCCTCAGCACATGCTAGATGAGCCAAGCGACTGGGCCAAAGAAGCTTGCTGAGCGTGTCGCTGTATGTATCTGTCGGGCCAGGCTGGCTTGGGTAGAATTCTAATACACAAATCATATGCCTTTAGAATAATATCATCATCTCACTATTATGAGAAATGGATTGCAATTCGGACTTCGCACGGATCTCGTCCTCTCACCAATACCTTCTCTTCCTTTCTTTGGTCATTGCCCTTGCACCCCGCTTCGGCGAAGGGCAAGTACAACATCGCTCATACTCACGTTAACAGGGCGCTCAGTGATACTCCATCGGAAAGCAGAGAGGAATTATTCAAGCCACTTCCTACCCCCAACCTTACACCCCTCTCTTACCGCTTGAGAGGAGAGCACAGGATATGGAATAGTACATGAAATGCCATGGATGAGCCAAGGAGAAAAAGAGGCAAATGGAACCATCCTCAGCGTCACATGTGACCTTTTCCCCTCTTGTCCCTTTCGCATAATCCGGAACCTCAAAAATGAAAGAAATGAGCACTAACACAGGGTGAGAGCAGTCACTTGAAGTTGGTCTGACTGTTGGGTTGTTGTTGTTTTGCTGCTGCTGCTGCCACTCGATTGGAGCTCAACGTACCAAGAATTCAACACAGCTAGCTGGTCGATCTTCCCTGTCAAACAGCATCAAGAGCATCAAGCACTCCTTACTAAATTTACTTCTTGCTAGCCTACTCCGCCACGATTCCAGCGCCAAGTTAATGCTCATCTGCTTACCGCATCACGTTTCACTGACAGAAGGGCCCAAACAGCACCACCGCCGCAGCAAAAAATCAGCAGCAGCAGCAGTAGCCGCAGGGTGGATATTTTTCATGTCGGATGATCAACCGACCCCCGAACGACCGATGGCTAACGCGCCTGTCAGACTGTCATTCATGTCAGTCAGCTGCATGCCATCTGCAGGCGAACAGGGGTCCAGGATTATTCCAATAGTGGCCAGACTAGATGTGTGCGAATCTGTCATCATGATGTATGATTCATGGATAAATTCTTTTGCCGCCAGAATTCCTTCTGGGGGGAGAGGAGGTGTTGGAACAATCATTGACCCGTTCTTGATCATTGCTAATTAGGTGCTTACGGTCACTCGCTACTACCTCTTCACACACAATGGAGACAAAGACCGCCCGAGTATTCCGTAATATAGGAACAATAGGTAAGTAAGTAGGTATATTAATGGATACGAGGGGACCACTGACTAGGGTGGTGGTAAAACTACTACCAAATGATAATGATTCCCATTATATATTTTCCCTTACTCCGATGATCCCTCATCCTCTCGGTCCGAGTTACTCACCTTGTCTTAGGTATGTACTACTTACCCACTTACCAAATGACCTACTTCCTGTACAGGCTGCACAGGCTAGTGGTAGTATGTAGTATGCTATGCTGTACTGGATAATGCCCAGCCATGACAATGCAGGGCAGTCAAATCACTCTGCGTTAACTTATCTTAACGCCAGCCTAGAATTAACTAACTACGTCTGCCAACCTGCCACCTAACGAACTGGACCTGCTGTGTCATCTCCAAGGAAATATGCTCAGGTATCACAAACACCAAGCCATTCGGTCAAACTCCCTACCCGTTTCTTTTTCTTCCCACTCATCTCGAACCAGGTGCCCGGAGTCTTGACATCCCCGGGTAGCAGTAGTAGTACTTAGTATTGCGGCTTTTTTTCTTTTCTTTTCTTGTCATAGTGTTTGCTTTTCTTTCCCCCCCTCCCTTAGGGGTGTTGCGTTTATTCTCCCATTAAGGGTGTATTGTCCGAAGTCGGACGCGTGATGAAGCACAATAGATATGCATTTAGTAGGTGGATAGGTACTTATGTCTTCACCCGAATATATTAGTTCAGAATACCATATCCACCATCACTACTACCACACACGTACCCGAAGTTCAATAGAAATATATATATGTATCAACCTTAAAACAAATTTACCTCCCACCGATAGCCAATCAACTGACCACTACGTACTTTAAAACACACGTGCCGAGTGGTTTCACAGCACAACTTACGCTACTACCTACTTATCTTTACCACTCCGAGGAGATATGCCCTCGGTTCCGCTTTCGGTTGGTTGTGCAGAGAATGGACTTTAACTACAACTATTTACACAAACACACTTATGTACGTAGTAGTTCGCTTCGATCGATCGATTTTATCTATCTACTGTATCTTGGTTGGTGGATCGGTTCGTGGGTTGGTTGGTTGGTTGATTGATTGACTGGTTTTGGATGTTGAAAGAGACTACTACTTATTTCATGCCGCTGCAGGTACGTAGTAGTTTGTTTAGACGTTCAGGGGAAGAAGGGATTATAGTTTATAGTTTGTAGATTGTAGTTTATGTTCTGGTGCAGATTTGGTAGTGGGTGTGAACTGGAGGGGTCAAGACACTTGCTGAAACTGGGGATCTTTTTCGGTGTACTCCATGATGGTGGATGTATGCATCAGATATATACGGACTTGGATGACTGGAAACTTGATGAGGGTTCTACGGTGTGGAGTGATGCGAAGAACACGATTCGCATCACACCCCAGCATATCGAAGCGGCAACAAACGGGAAGAACGAAAGAAAAATGGGGCAGGTCAAGGAGGGTGAAAAAAATGGAAATCTCATTTCATGAATAGAAGAATTCATTCATTGGGAACCACGACCCGTACATATTACCCCGTCGTGTTTCATTTTTTAGCCGCGCCGTTCTTGTTCATTGAAGAATGAAAGAACCCTAGACCGAGCCAAATTTTTTAAAGAAATTTTTCCATAATTCGCTCCTCTAATCACAAAAAAACATCATTTATTGATATTTATGATGCATTTAGCGCTTGCCGGCAGCCTTCTCCTGAGACTCCTTGAGGACCTTCTTGACGATCTTCTGCTCCTCAATCAGGAAAGCACGGACGATGCGGTCCTTGACGCAACCAGCGCAGCGGGAACCACCGTAGGCGCGGCTGACGTTCTTCTTGGGGCGGGAGATCTGAGCGTACTCGCGGGGGCGGAGAGCGGGGACCTATATCGGTGGAAAAGGGTGATACAATCAGCCATTTTTGCTCTTCCTTCATATCATTCATATCGCGGATGGTGGTGGTGGTAGTGGTAGTGTTGATTGTTGTCGTTTCCTTGTGCGTTGGTCGAAGCGATCGTCCATGCACGCACACTCTCCATCCATCGTCCCTTTCCAAGATCGTTCACACACAACCACCACCGCCACCATTCAACATAGATAATTCGGGAGCACTCACACCAGGGAGCTTGATGCCACAGTCACCGCACTTGGGAGCAGTGCCCTTCTTCTTGATGTGAAGGTAACGGAGCTCACCGCCGGGGGTCTTGATGATGCGGACCTGGTTGGACCGCGTGTTGTACCTGAAGAACAAAATCCATCAATACCCTATTCATGAATATCTCGGCGTATATATAAAAATTTCAAGAGCAAAGTAGCGGTCCATCGCGTCGAAATCGGACAAATCGTTATTGCACCGTAGCGACCGATAAAGAAATGAAATTTTGGTGGGAGTGACAAAAGGCACGATGGGGGTAGAATCAAGAGGGAAAATTCAAACGTACGGGTTCCGGCGGCGCTGCAGAGAAGAAGAACATTAGATCAGTATTCCATTTCATATAATATTCAGAGATTCAATATACTCACGTATTGGAGTCTGTTGTTCGCCATTTTGTCTGTCCTTGAACCTCTAGGTCGGTGGTCTCAAGAGATTGGCGGCGGCGTCGTCGGTTGTCGTCGTTGACCTCGTAGAATTCTCGCGGTAATCTGGATTTGTGTGGGTTTCGCTCGGAGCCCTGGGCGGCCGCGCTAGCGCTAATTTGGCGAGAACGCGCTAACCCCAATCCGGACTAGTACCGGCCCGAGCAGAGCCGCCACCTCTTTTCAGACTTGCTTCATCAAACAAGGCAGGAGAAGCAAGAAGAGACTGGAGCAAGCTGTCTTATCACCTTCCCGTCGTGAGAAGGGGATCGTCCAGGAGTGGTTTTATCTTCTTCGGGGCAAAGCTTCATTTCTCCGACGCGATTTCTTTTTATCAATCTGTTTTAATTCCCCCCTCCTCCATTCCGTTTTTTTCGCGTCGCTGAGCTGCAGTCGATGAGCTCGCGATAAGTCACGACCCGTGCATCTTTTGACGCGACTTAGTCACGAAACTTCCAGCCCGTCCATCAGAGCAGAGAGTGTCCTTCATATATACAACCCATTACCATGGCATCATTGCCTCCCCCTCCGCCTCCGGGCTGGGGTGCGTCGGCGCCGCCGTCGATGCCGCTGGCTCCTCCGCCACCGGGATATCAACCGCCTGCGGATCCGACTGTCGCGAAGTTTGCCCAGAAGAAGAATGAATGGCTGCGGACGCAACGGAACCGGTTTGGCGAGAAGAGAAAGGGTGGATTCGTTGAAACACAGAAGGCTGATATGCCCCCGGAGCATCTGCGAAAGATTGTTCGGGACATTGGCGATGTGTCGCAAAAGAAGTTCAGCAATGAGAAGCGCAGCTATCTCGGTGCGCTGAAGTTCATGCCCCATGCTGTGTTGAAGTTGCTGGAGAACATGCCCATGCCCTGGGAATCGGCTAGGGAAGTGAAGGTACTGTATCATGTTAATGGTTGCCTTACCTTGGTCAATGAGACTCCTCGTGTCATTGAGCCCGTGTTTCACGCTCAATGGGCTACCATGTGGGTGTGCATGCGGCGAGAAAAGAGTGATCGCAGACACTTCAAGAGAATGCGCTTCCCTCCTTTCGACGACGAAGAACCTCCGCTATCGTGGTCGGAAAACATTGAAGATGTGGAGCCGTTGGAACCCATTCAGATGGAGCTTGATGAGTCGGAGGATGCTCCTGTCTATGAGTGGTTTTATGATCACCGGCCTCTGCTGGATACTCCCCATGTTAATGGGCCGAGCTACAAGAGCTGGAACCTGACACTTCCGCAGATGGCTACTCTGTATCGACTAAGTCATCAGCTCCTGAGTGACGTCGTCGATCAGAACTACTTCCATATGTTTGACTTGAACAGCTTCTTCACCGCCAAGGCACTGAATGTCGCTATTCCGGGTGGTCCTCGCTTCGAACCTCTCTACAAGGATATCGACCCCAATGACGAGGATTTCAGCGAATTCAACGCCATCGACCGTATCATCTTCCGCGCCCCTATCCGCACGGAATACCGCGTCGCCTACCCCTTCCTGTACAATACCCTCCCGAGAAGCGTAAAGGTTTCTTGGTACTCTCACCCTCAAGTTGTATATGTCCGCACCGACGACCCTAATCTCCCCGCCTTCTACTTCGACCCCGTCATCAACCCTATCTCCTCCCGGTCCGTCGCGCCGAAGAATATCACTGTCAGCCATGAAGATGAGATTTTTGGTGAAGGAAACAACGAGGACGACTTCGAGCTCCCTGGTGACTTCGAGCCGTTCTTCTCCGATGAGGAATTGTACACACCCGATACCGCGTCCGCCATTGCCCTCTGGTGGGCTCCTCATCCCTTCAACAAGCGCTCCGGCAAGATGGTGCGCGCCCAGGATGTTCCCCTCGTGAAGCAGTGGTATCTGGAGCATTGCCCGCAGGGCCAGCCTGTCAAGGTTCGCGTCTCATACCAGAAGCTGCTTAAGACGTTCGTCCTCAATGAGCTGCACAAGAAGAAGCCCAAGGCCCAGAACAAGCAGAATCTGTTGAAGACTTTGAAGTCGACCAAGTTCTTCCAGCAGACGACGATCGATTGGGTTGAAGCAGGTCTGCAAGTTTGCCGCCAGGGTTTCAACATGCTCAACTTGTTGATCCACCGCAAGAACTTGACCTACCTCCACCTTGACTACAACTTCAACTTGAAGCCCGTCAAGACTTTGACCACCAAGGAGCGAAAGAAGTCTCGATTTGGAAACGCTTTCCACTTGATGAGAGAAATCCTTCGTCTCACCAAGTTGATCGTCGACGCCCAGGTGCAATATCGGTTGGGTAACATTGATGCCTTCCAGCTGGCTGACGGCATCCTGTATGCTTTCAACCACGTCGGACAGCTTACTGGTATGTACCGTTACAAGTACAAGTTGATGCACCAGATTCGTTCTTGCAAGGATCTCAAGCATTTGATCTACTACCGCTTCAACTCGGGACCTGTGGGTAAGGGTCCTGGATGCGGTTTCTGGGCCCCGGCCTGGCGTGTTTGGCTCTTCTTCATGCGTGGTATCATTCCTCTGCTCGAGAGATGGCTCGGAAACCTGCTGTCCCGTCAGTTCGAGGGTCGCCACAGCAAGGGTGTTGCCAAGACTGTCACCAAGCAGCGTGTGGAGTCTCACTTCGATCTTGAACTCCGTGCATCTGTCATGGCGGATCTCATGGACATGATGCCCGAGGGTATCAAGCAGAACAAGGTCAACACTGTCCTCCAACATCTGTCGGAGGCATGGAGATGCTGGAAGAGTAACATTCCTTGGAAGGTTCCTGGCCTTCCGGCGCCCATTGAGAATATCATTCTCCGTTACGTCAAGAGCAAGGCTGACTGGTGGATTTCCGTCGCTCACTACAACCGTGAACGTATCCGTCGTGGTGCCACCGTCGATAAGACAGTTGCAAAGAAGAACCTTGGTCGACTCACCCGTTTGTGGCTCAAGGCTGAGCAAGAGCGTCAACACAACTACCTTAAGGATGGTCCCTACGTGTCGTCCGAGGAAGCTGTGGCCATCTACACAACCATGGTCCACTGGCTTGAGTCTCGCAAGTTCTCTCCGATCCCCTTCCCTAGTGTTTCTTACAAGCACGACACCAAGATCCTGATCCTTGCTCTGGAGCGTCTGCGTGAATCCTACTCCGTCAAGGGCAGACTCAACCAGAGTCAGCGTGAGGAGCTCGCTCTCATCGAACAGGCATACGATTCTCCTGGAACGACCCTAGCCAGAATCAAGCGTTTCCTCTTGACTCAGCGAGCCTTCAAGGAGGTTGGCATTGATATGAACGACAATTACAGCCATATCAACCCCGTGTACGACGTGGAGCCCATCGAAAAGATTACCGACGCCTACCTCGACCAGTACCTGTGGTACCAGGCAGAGCAGCGCCACTTGTTCCCCGCTTGGATCAAGCCGTCGGATTCTGAAGTTCCCCCCTTGTTGACTTACAAGTGGGCTCAGGGTATCAACAACTTGGACAATGTCTGGGAGACTGCCGATGGCGAGACGAACGTTATGATCGAGACCGAGCTGTCGAAGGTCTATGAGAAGATGGATCTTACTCTGTTGAACCGCATGCTTCGCCTTATCATGGACCACAACTTGGCTGACTACATCACTTCCAAGAACAACGTTCAGCTCAGCTACAAGGATATGAACCATACCAACAGCTACGGTTTGATTCGCGGTCTGCAATTCTCCGGCTTCGTTTTCCAGTACTACGGCCTGATGATCGATTTGCTGCTCCTCGGTCTGCAGAGAGCTAGTGAAATGGCTGGACCCCCTGCAAGCCCCAACGATTTCTTGCAGTTCAGAGACCGTGCTACTGAGACGAAGCACCCTATTCGTCTGTACACGCGTTACGTCGACAAGATCTGGGTCTTCCTTCGATTCTCTGCCGATGAGTCTCGAGACTTGATTCAGCGCTTCTTGACTGAGAACCCCGATCCCAACTTTGAAAATGTCATCGGGTACAAGAACAAGAAGTGCTGGCCGCGTGATTGCCGCATGCGTTTGATGCGTCATGATGTCAACTTGGGACGCGCTGTATTCTGGGATCTGAAGAACCGCCTGCCGAGGTCCATCACCACCATCGAATGGGACGACACTTTCGCCAGTGTCTACAGCAAGGACAACCCGAATCTTCTGTTCTCTATGTCCGGATTCGAAGTCCGCATTCTTCCTAAGTGCCGCAACCAAAACGAGGAGTTCTCGGTGAAGGACAGCGTTTGGTCTCTGGTCGATAACTCGACTAAGGAGCGCACAGCTCATGCTTTCCTCCAGGTCACAGAGGAGGATATCCAGAAGTTCAACAACCGGATTCGTCAGATTCTCATGTCATCCGGTTCGACGACTTTCACTAAGATTGCAAACAAGTGGAACACGGCTTTGATCGCACTCTTCACCTACTACCGTGAAGCTGCTGTATCCACTGTCAACCTTCTGGATACGATCGTCAAGTGCGAAACCAAGATCCAGACCCGTGTCAAGATTGGTCTGAACTCCAAGATGCCTTCTCGTTTCCCTCCCGCCGTTTTTTACACTCCCAAGGAACTGGGAGGTCTGGGTATGATCTCTGGATCCCACATTCTCATTCCGGCTAGCGACAAGCGGTGGTCCAAACAAACGGATACCGGCATCACCCACTTCCGTGCGGGTATGTCACATGACGAAGAGACCCTGATCCCGAACATCTTCCGGTACATCATCCCCTGGGAAGCCGAGTTCATTGACTCCCAGAGAGTGTGGATGGAGTATTCGCAGAAGCGACAGGAGGCTCAGCAGCAGAACCGCCGTTTGACGTTGGAGGACCTGGAGGACAGCTGGGACCGTGGTCTTCCCCGTATCAACACCCTGTTCCAGAAGGATCGCAGTACGCTCAGCTTCGACAAGGGTTTCCGTCTTCGCGCTGAATTCAAGCAATACCAGTTGATGAAGAGCAACCCGTTTTGGTGGACTAGTCAGAGACATGACGGAAAGCTGTGGAACTTGAACGCTTACCGTACCGACGTCATCCAGGCCCTTGGTGGTGTCGAAACCATTCTTGAGCACACCCTCTTTAAGGCAACTGCCTTCCCATCATGGGAAGGTCTCTTTTGGGAAAGAGCGAGTGGTTTCGAGGAATCGATGAAGTTTAAGAAGCTTACGAATGCCCAAAGATCCGGTTTGAACCAGATCCCGAACCGTCGGTTCACTTTGTGGTGGTCTCCTACCATCAACCGTGCCAATGTATACGTTGGTTTCCAGGTTCAGCTGGATCTTACCGGTATTTTCTTACACGGTAAAATTCCGACCTTGAAGATTTCGTTGATTCAGATCTTCCGTGCCCACTTGTGGCAGAAGATTCACGAGTCCGTCGTTATGGATCTGTGCCAAGTCTTCGATCAGGAGCTTCAGCAGCTGGGCATTGAGACAGTCCAGAAGGAGACTATCCATCCTCGTAAGTCTTACAAGATGAACAGCTCTTGCGCCGACATTTTGCTTTTCGCAACGAACAAGTGGAACGTCACGCGTCCTTCCTTGCTCTTTGATACCAAAGACGTTTATGAGCCAACCACGACAAACAAGTTCTGGCTTGACGTGCAGTTGAGATATGGTGATTATGACTCCCACGACATTGAGAGATATGTTCGTGCCAAGTATCTCGACTACACCACCGACAGCATGAGTATCTATCCTTCGGCTACCGGTTTGATGATTGGCATTGATCTCGCGTACAACCTGTACTCGGCATATGGTCAGTACTTCCCTGGTCTGAAGACCCTGATCCAGCAGGCTATGGCCAAGATCATGAAGGCGAACCCTGCCTTGTATGTCTTGAGAGAACGTATCAGGAAGGGTCTGCAGCTCTATGCTTCGGAAAGTAACCAGGAGTTCCTGAACTCCCAGAACTACTCGGAGCTCTTCAGTCCTCAGATCCAGCTGTTCATTGACGATACCAATGTCTACCGTGTCACCATCCACAAGACCTTCGAAGGTAACCTGACGACCAAGCCCATCAACGGTGCTATCTTTATCTTCAATCCCAGAACCGGACAGCTGTTCTTGAAGATCATTCACACAAGTGTTTGGGCTGGACAGAAGCGTCTGGGTCAGTTGGCCAAGTGGAAGACAGCAGAAGAAGTGGCGGCTCTCATCCGATCCTTACCTGTAGAGGAGCAGCCGAAGCAGCTGATCGTCACCCGTAAGGGTCTGTTGGATCCTTTGGAAGTCCACCTGCTTGACTTCCCTAACATTTCCATCCGAGCTTCCGAGCTTCAGCTTCCTTTCCAGGCCGCGATGAAGGTTGAGAAGCTTGCGGATATGATTCTCCGGGCAACGGAGCCTCAGATGGTTCTCTTCAACCTTTACGATGAGTGGCTGAAGTCAATCTCACCTTACATTGCCTTCTCTCGTTTGATTCTCATTCTGAGAGCCCTCCACGTCAACATTGATAAGGCGAAGATTATCCTCAGACCTGACAAGAGTGTCATAACCCAAGAGCATCATATCTGGCCTTCATTGTCGGATGAGGATTGGATGAAGGTTGAAGTGCAATTGCGTGACTTGATTCTGAACGACTACGGCAAGAAGAACAATGTCAACGTTCAGAGTCTGACGAGTAGTGAAGTTCGGGATATCATCCTTGGTATGGAGATCAGTGCTCCTTCACTTCAACGTCAGCAGGCCGCGGAGATCGAGAAGCAGCAGGAAGAGCAGAAGCAGCTCACGGCTGTTACGACGAAGACACAGAACGTCCGTGGGGAGGATATTATCGTCACTACCACCTCTCAGTACGAGCAGCAATCGTTTGCTTCCAAGACTGAGTGGCGCACACGGGCAATCGCGACGTCCAACCTTCGTACGAGGTCGAACAACATCTACATCTCATCGGATGACGTCCGGGAGGAGGGATACACCTACATCATGCCGAAGAACGTCCTCAAGCGCTTCATCACGATTGCAGATCTGCGTGTGCAAGTTGCTGGATACCTGTACGGTACCTCCCCTCCTGATAACGACCAGGTGAAGGAAATCCGCACCATTGTCATGATCCCCCAGGTGGGCAATACGCGTGAGGTGCAGTTGCCACAGCAGCTGCCCCAGCACGATTATCTCAACAACCTTGAACCTCTGGGTGTTATCCACACCATTTCTGGAAACGAGCCCCCTTACATGTCGGCCATGGATGTTACACAGCATGCTCGTTTGATGAACGCCCACTCCTCCTGGGACAAGAAGACGGTTACCATGACAGTGTCTTTCACCCCTGGATCCGTGTCACTTGCGGCCTGGGGTCTCACGCCCCAAGGCTACAAGTGGGGAGCAGAGAATCGTGATACCACATCTGATCAACCGCAAGGATTCTCGACCAGCATGGGAGAGAAGTGCCAGCTGTTGCTCAGTGACAAGATCCGCGGATACTTCCTGGTGCCGGAAGACAACGTCTGGAACTACAGCTTCATGGGCAGCTCCTTCGGCGGAGTGGAGAAGCGGCCGGTGTACGTGAAGATCGACACCCCTCTGAGGTTCTACGATGAACAACATCGTCCATTGCACTTCCAGAACTTTGCGGAACTGGAAGATATTTGGGTTGACCGTTCTGATAACTTTGCGTGAGCGATGTGTGGATGGCGTTGGCATGATAATTTTCTTGTTCTTCTTCTTTTTCCCTTTTCTACGGACGATTACGCTGTTTTTGATATTATTTCCCTATATCTTCAAGCCATGTCTTTTTCCCCCTCTCAAAGTTTTCTTTCTATTTGATGTTCGCAGTATACAAAATCCTCTCATGTGTCTTACTATGGTTACATTTTTGATATCGATGCTTGGCAGCAAGTGAGGGATGAGAAGCCCAACGGAAGTGGAGATCCGGTGGCGGGGACGGGGCAAAAATGGCTGCGCTATGTACAGTAGACATGTAGGTAGCGATGTATGTTTAAGAAGTTAATTATCCAAAGTGGTCATCGGTTTGTAGATGTTCTCATGTATACTGTAGGTAGTGTAGAGGAGTCAATATGGAGATCCAACAGGCAGCTATAATACAATTCCGGACTCTAGGAGTTTAGGGGATCGACCATGTGGGTGGGCAGCAGAGCTAAAGAGGGCCGGAGGAGACTGTCAATCAATATGGACCATGTGTGAGTCCACTTTGGGCCGGGTAGGTTAATCGTTATTAACGGTCTAGTAATAATAATAAAAAAAATACTATAAATTAGACCGGAATATGCTTAATATCAATAGTCTAGTTTGGTGAGGGGGTTAGTTGACGTGTGTATTTTTTTTTTATTTTCTCAAGCCGGGGTGGGAAGATCAGTGTTTGTGTCTTGATGGAACTTGACCGAGCAAAAAGACCGAGTACGAAGGAGGGGGTGCTCCTGACTCTTGTCTCTCTCCCTCACACTCACTCACCTCACCTACTTACTACTCTTCCTCTCCCTCTCCCTCCTTCTCCCTCTTGTTCGCCCGTCTGAACCCACCCACCCTACTTAGTCCTACTGAACACTTTCCCTCTCACGTTCACTTTTTCTCTCTCTCTCCCTCTTCTGTGCCGTGCACGGCTGCTAACTAAAAACGCCTCTCACTTCCCCCCTGCTTCACTTTTCCTCCTCCACACCATCCCTTCCGGCTGGATCCGATGTACATTTCCAACGGTCTGGCCCAAGCACTCATCCAGCCAGCTGGTCGGGGCGTCTAAGACATTCGCGTCGGGCTCATTTTATTTCGGTGGTTTGATGCAATGTGATCAACTCGACTGTTTCACCAGTGCCTCATGGCCTGAAATCTCGGGACGAAAGTCAAATTGCAGAGACCCATCGGAAGAACTCGCCCTGCAACTGCAAGATACGATGGATGGGCTTACGGGGGATCCACCTCGACGCCAATCCTGTCCGGAGTACGGAGTACACGCCTACTTGAGACTACTACCCCTACAGGTTTAAGGCGATATTCAGTCTGAAGTCTGAGAGGGGTCTTACGTGTTGTGTACAAAGTATAAGCTCCCCAACCCCGTTTTTCCCTTTTTTATTTATTTGTTGGTTCTTTTTTTTTTTTTATTTTCCCTTATTGTCTTCCTGCCTGTGTCCATGATCTATCATCCGTTGATGCTCATTGATCGAGCAGGACAATAATTAGGAATCAGCCGGATGCTTAAATCGTAACTCACTCCATGGAGTAGCTTTCTCTCCATCTCAACCGCTATGACACGGTGGTGGCTCTCGGGGCCTCTCTCTTACACCTTAACAGCAAACAGCTCGAGCTACTGCTACTACTCTCACCCGCCCACGGCCTATCATATTATAAAAAAAGGAAATAAGGAAAATAAAAATGAACTAAAACATTAGACACATTCATGACAACCCACCTCTCACATATTTTACCCACGCGCTAAGCTCCCGGCCTCCGACCGTTCTCGGGGGCTTGTGTCCACGAGGGTGACCTAGAATCAAGAGCAAATAAGGTTGACAGGAAGGCTCCTGCTCTCATCAGAAGGGTCAAACTTGCTCCCCTTTGACAAGGGACATGGCTTTTCAGTTCAGCTTCGTCTGGCCTCACAACCCAAGGGGGCCGGAGACCCAAAAAGAACGAAAAAGAAAATAAAATAAAATTAAGTACAAGAAAGAAAAAGTGAGGCCAGGCAAAAAAGGGGAACCTAGACGTGGGTACGGTTTAGGCTCGAGCCTGACCCGCGATCATTTTTTTTCTCCTCCTGCGCGATAGAGTCGTATTCTTAGTCGATGGGAGCCACCGCACATCGTTCATGCGTGATTGAGGAGTCGTGATGTGCGCGCGCGCGCTCTCTCTTTCTTGACTCCCTCACTGGTGTTGTGTTGGTTTGGCTTCCCGCGCCCGTTCCAGGCTACGGGATTTTTATATACACTATCCAGACCAGGGTCGTTACTCCATTTCCCTCTCGAGAAACAAAGGCTCGGCCGGAACTCCCTGCTTAGCATGATGGCCCACCTCCGAGCAAGCTAGCACCCTCCCGCTAGTCATTCCAATCACCTTTTCCAGGTGGATGTCTCGCCGACGACCGTTCTCTACCCGCCATTGGCGTATTCGCTGAGTGGAGTTGCTGCGTCGACGTACGACGGTCCTTGTTCTGACAGGGGGCGAATTCCTGAGCGAGTTAGGAGCAGACCAGCACAACAGGTTTGACTCCCTTGACCCGAGTCCACCGACTCGCTCGTCTCATTCACGTTCGTATCCAATAAGTTAACTTCAGATTATGCCTGGCCTACGTATGGGTTTGGGCTTGGATCTCCCCCCCGCTTCTGCGTTTGCTCGGGGCTGGAGACGGTAGAGCCCCGAAGGAAGGGAGAGGGGCAGAAAGAGGAGAGAGAGGGTGATGGATTGATTGATGAATGGAGGGCGACTCTTTGTCTACCTGAGCTTTGGCTGGTTCGCCGTGTTTCAAACTTGTACACAGTATCCCCGACTATTGCCCTAATTTCCTCCTCTACGGCAGTCACTGCCATGCCTTGGCAATCACCAGACGGGCCGGCGGAAGGCAAATGGTAGCCTCATCCTTCGTCCTGCTGGCATCCATGACCGTTGTCCCCTCTGGGTCCCTCTGCAAGCTAAGCTTGACTGGAACGCAGATCCGTCAAATGGGCGATTTCTTCTGCCAGCCCACCTGCACCTTTCTGATTTGGGTTATATGGAGTGTCTCCGTGTCTCGTCAATTTTACCCCATGGATTCTGACAGCTTATTTATTATGATTTGCCCTTTCCAGAACCTTTCATCGGCCGTCTACGCTGCCGTATATATCCTCTAACACTTACCCTATCACTGCTCTGCACGGGACTTTTACATGCAGCTGGAAGCAGCATCCCGGCATCAACCTCCACTTGTTCTTCCCCGTTAGATCCTGCATCTCAAACGACGGAGGGATACGGGCTGCAAGCCTATCTGCGGAGTTTCTGGCATGAGAATTAGACCTCCGACTTCTCTCAGTAGATTTGGTTGGGCCGGGCCTCTTGTCGGTGCGTCTGGACTCTGGTGAAGATTACCGGTCTTTTTCGGGACTTCCCAGCTGGCGCGCTCATCACTGACCCGGTGAGTAGTACTAGTAAGCCATCTATCCATCCCTTTCGCCCAGTGACTCTTTCCCTTTCTCATGGTGGCCAGACCCTGTGTCGCCTCTAGCTTCCTCTTTCACTCTCCTCCTCCTCTGTTTCTTCTCTCCGTTCTCTCTGCCGTTGCTTTTCAAATGTGTTCGATGTCCTGCGACCTGACTTCGCTACTCTCTTCCTTCCTGCACCTTGGGATGAGCGATCGTCGTGTCCTGACGTTGCTGTCGAGTCATTCAATCCATGACCTATAATTCTGACGACCAGATAGTTTCGCGCCCCACGCTCTGAAAGCCAACGGTCTATTTCCCAATTTTCCAGGCTTCAGAAGTTCGGTCTGTACATGGCCAAAGCTTTGATCCTTGCTTCAACCCAGAGGATTTCACGATCTGTCACTCTTCGCTTCATCGGACGAACTCCGACAGTCAGCCAGCCTATCTCGTGACGGCCTTTTCCGTCGAGATAGCACCTTCGACCTCCTTCCTTTTCTTCCCCTTTTTCTAGAGCCAGTCAGTAGCCTGCCAGGGCTGTTAGGCTCTAGCGGCGCAGATGTATGTCCGCGACGCTGGCGGATCCGTATCGAGAGTATGCTATTGATTATTCTCAACATGCTACCTGCAAACCTGAGGAACACGCAGGCACGCTTGTTTACCACGCACAGCAGCCGCATCTCCAGCATCACAAGCAACCCGAGCCTCCATTCTCTCAGGGGGCCTCTCATAGCACGACGGCATTTGAGCAACATCATGCGAACGCGACCGTGTTGTCAACAGCCACTCCGCAGCAAACAGTCCATGATATCTCGCAAAGCGTTGTCCTTGGCCCGCCCCAAATGCTCCCACGACACCTTCCAGTGCAGTATCCACCTGCCAGCTTCGAAATCCCGCCTATTCAGCGGGAGAAGAAACGTCCTCATTCGGAGACCGAAGAGGATGGGAACCCCGACCATGGCCTGCGGCCACAGCTATCAGTCCTCTCAGCCGATGCCCCTCACGAACCCTCGCATTCTCCCGAGATGCTCTTCGGTGTCCATGGCACATCATCTCAGCAGCATCCCATGTCAAACCATGGATTCGGACCCACAGACTCTGTGGCCCTGCCGCAACATCATCATCACCATCGACTCCCTCCCCATGCAGCGCTGCGCGCCCCGGGGCGTCATGGAGTGAATGTGGAATCGCCTCCTTTGCCCTCGGGTCCGCCGAGTGTAGTGGGCCAGCCTGGAATGCCGGATCCAGCTCCCAGGCCCCGAGGTCCAAAACTGAAGTTTACTCCTGAAGAAGACGCTCTACTGGTGGAGCTGAAGGAAAACAAGAACTTGACATGGAAGCAAATTGCAGACTTCTTCCCGGGCCGAACGAGCGGCACCTTGCAAGTCCGATACTGCACCAAGCTGAAGGCCAAGGATGTGGCTTGGAGTGACGAAATGGTTCGTAGTTCTCTGGTGCATTTCTACGTCTTTTTCACATGCTAATGAAGGGAATAGGTACAAAGGCTGCAACGGGCAATGCACGAATACGAGAACGATCGGTGGCGTATCATTGCAGGGAAGGTTGGAAATGGCTTCACCCCAGCTGCTTGTCGCGAGAAGGCTATGCAACTCCAGTAAAGGCTTGGGGAATTTCTCATTTATATCTACTGTCGCCAGATTCGACCTTTTTTGGACCCTCTGATCTCCCTACTCTCCATTTTGGTTCAAATGTCGGGTTTCCGATAGGGCTGGTGGTGCGGGCCTGTTGTAGGCACGGGAGGATGATCAGCATAACTCTGATATACTATAGGGACGGTTGATGTAAGGTATTTAGTGATGTATGATAATTCATTTTAGCCCGGGGAACATATGGCGCCGGCATTTGTTCGTTCGCAATGAACCGACACTAGCGTCCGCTCTCGCACTTTAGCACCGGCTGATCCCGGGCTGAACGCGGCCATTGCTCGGCCGGGGGCATGTGTTCTTCATCTACTACGGCAGACCGCAGAAAACCATTTGCGCAGACAGTAGACCCTAAGCCCTAAGCCGGACGCCCAATCGAGCAGGTCTGCGGATCAGGTCATTGCGGGCAGCCGTAGAAGCTCCGCAACCAATCAATCCCCGGCGCTGACTAAGGACAGGCGACCACGGGCCGAAGCGGCTTCAAACTCACCTCAACCTCCAAACTCCCTCATCTCCAAACGTCCTTGCCTTGTCTGCCGTCATTGCAACCCACCCACCAGGACAATGTTCCTCCAACGCACAGCCTTCGCCCTCGCCAGGCGCACCCCTACCCGGGCTCTCGCTGCCCGTCCCTTTTCTTCCTCCGTCACCCGCTGTACGTGACCCTCATCGTCGGATCAAAAGACCGCCTCTTCTGCACCGCAGCAGTGGCAGCCGTCCCTTTTCTCCCGCGCTCCCATGGTCTCTATATGGGCCAATTGCACGGGATTGCAGACGTCGGTTCTGGATATGCGAGCTAACATGCCATTGCTGCTCCTATAGTCAACGCCAAGAAGTATGAGGTGAAGCAGGAGGGCAAGATCCTTCCCTTCGATGGTGAGTTGGCACCACACCCACTCCTACACGAAGTGTCAATTGTCCCTACGGATACACTTTCAAGATAGCAATTGCGACTTGTACTGCAAGTGAGGTTGCAATTGGGCATCTTATGCGGGGTTTCGGGCACTGGGGACATTTGATAGCCGGCTACTTGCATCTTCTCGATGCCTTGACACATGGTTGACATCATACTGATTGTGCGCTTTCTTCCTGAACAGAGATCAAGACCGAGGACGACCTCATCCCCCCGGGTGCTAAGTCCGGTACCGTTCCCGTCGATATCGAGCACGCCACTGGTCTCGAGCGTCTCGAACTCGTCGGAAAGATGCAGGGCATTGACATCTTCGACATGCGTCCCCTCGATGCCTCCCGCAAGGGTATGTCATACACTATTTTCGCTCTTTGCGGTGGCTTTTGAAGCCTTGTATAGGTGATTTGCGAGGGTGGGCGCTGATATAACGCTATATAGGAACCCTCGAGGACCCCATCATCGTCAACGGTGCTGGTGACGAGCAGTACGCTGGTTGCACTGGTTTCCCCGCCGACTCTCACCAGGTCAACTGGTTGACTGTAAGCCGATTTCTTCCATGCTGTTTATCTCCTGTGATAGCATGATCCCTAATCAAGCCACAATACAGGTCTCCCGTGACCGCCCCATCGAGCGCTGCGGCGAGTGCGGTAACGTTGTCAAGCTCAACTACGTCGGCCCCTTGGAGGACCCCCACGCTCGTAAGTGACTTCCCATCAATTCCGGCCCAATCTATGGCCATCATTCGGTGTGTGCAATGTACTAATTGCTCCCTAACCAGACGACCACGACCACGGTCACGGCCACCCCCCTCACGAGGAGCCCAAGACCTTCGCCGACTTCGTCAAGCCTGAGTACTGGTACCGGTAAATACAATGTACTACTACAATGAATGGAGCGATTGTCCTTTTTCTTTTTCTTCCCCCTTCCCTACTTAGGTGCTATTTCTTCGATCCGGAGCAAAGAGAAACAATGGAGTGAAGCGAGATATTAGAGAGAAGAGACAATCCGACATATAATCTGTATGTGTACATGCGCGAGGCAGGGGGTGTTCTGGCAAGACAAGTCACAAAAGAGAGAGATATATGGGGGCGCCGGCTTTCTGTACAAGATTTCATCGGGATGAACTATTAGTTGTGTGTTGTGTGTGTGTGTGTGTATCGTTTGAAACCAATATTGTTGTATACTTTTGCCAATTCCTTTCCTTTTTCCTAGATACTCTTCTTTGATGCACTGTAGATCTAACAACGAGACTTATATCACCTCAAACCCGAACGATATAACACTTCAATTAGAGGTATATGATACTATAGTATCCTATCAACCCACTCCTCTCAGCACTATCATAACATGGATACACCGCTACTACTAGTGAGCAGTCTCACGGAACAAGTACATACTAGCATGTCAGTACCCATGGCTTGAAAAAGACCATACATCCCTGACTGAACCTAGAGTACCTACCCAACTATAGTGCGGTACGTGCAAGTGAGCTGATCAAGCGATTACTTAGTTTACGCGCGGGTGGCATGATGTCCGGAACAGCGGAAACTAACGGAAAGAAGGAAGGGAAGGGAAGGGGAAATGTTAGCCGTATCACGTGGTATGTAAAAACTACTAGCTCCTCGAGGGATTCTTTTACTTGCCTAAATAGGTAGGAGGGAAAAGTAACCTAGCTGGAGCCTGCCCGTAGGCGGTGTTAAGTTAAGGTAGTATGATAGGGAACGGAGGTGCTACGTACTGCTTACTTCGTAGTGCGTACTAGTTGGTTCTTTTGGGGTTTTTTACTTTGGTAATTGAATTGAAGGTGTTGGGTAGTGTTCTCTTGGATGATTTGGTAGCTACTGTCAGGTTAAAGAGGATAGTAACGATGAAGTGGAACTTTTTATAGTACTAGTGCAATCTGATGTACATTTCTTTTTGATTGAGTGACGATGATAATGTCTGTCACTCGGCATTGTACTATGATATAATATAGTACATGATCAGTTTTGGGTATACCCTACAAGGTCAATGACCCCATTTGTAGGGCAGTTTTGCAATGTTGAATTGAATAGTTGTGCTCTTTCTCAGAAGCCCAATGGAATTACTGCCAGTTCACCGTCCGAAGTAACGAAGTTCGACGTAGCGAAGAGGCGGATAAACCACACATGTCCATGAAAAAGCAACGTAGGTGCCCATCTATATATAGTAGTTAGTATGTGAAGCAATCAAAAATGTGTTTGTCATCAGGTCTGCTTACATCCGCGCCATATTCACCCACCAATCGCGCCAAAGGCCCGATATACCACACCTGCGCCATGCATAGGATTGCACCTGCCCAACCGATCAAGAAGGCGATGAAAGCGGAAATGCCCAAGGGCAGCTTGGATGGGTCGTTCCAGGCCTGCCAGTTGTATCCGCTGCGGGCGCGGAAGATAAAGCGGTCTTCTAGGATGATGGCTATCCAGATGGCGACCCAGTAACCCATGAGCGCGAGGAAGTTGGTGAAGATGTCGGAGAGGTTGCTTCGGCCCGCTAGAGCGCACACGGTGTAGATAATAACTCCGATGGCGTTCCAGATGGCTCTGGGCACCTTTTCGGCATATCGTCCGAGGATCTGGAAATCCACGCCGGCCGAGTACGTGGGTGGGATGGTGTTGGCGATGAGACCAAGGGCAACGACGACGGCGCAAAATTTGCCGAATCCGTTTAGGGGGCTGAACCCTTCGACGATAAGTGCTCCGGCACCGTCAGCGTATGCTGTGCTGTATGCTGGGTCGGTGGTGATGCCCGATGCGAGACCGATGCCGACGAGGAAAGCCATGGTGAAAGAGGTCATCAGGCCGCCCAAGGAAAGGAAAAAGAGAGATGTCCTCGAGGTATTCTGAGGATAATAGACAAAAAAGTCCGCTGCAAGCGGTGCATATGTAATTGCAGCACTGAGACAAAGCGAGAAGAAGGATAGACTGCGAGTGTGGCATGTAAGCATGAGATTATTCAATGGTTTAAAGTGGACTTACCGGTTACCGGCTACTGTGCGAGCGTCGCCAGTCGATGGCGTGGACAAGTCGTATTTCGTCCCAGACATACCGAACAGTGTGCAAACGACAATAAGCTGGGGTAGAAAGGCAAATCTGGTCCCGTCAGTCGCAGAGATTTACAACCCTGATCGGTCATACATACCGCTCGTAGTAATGGAAAATCTGAATGCCGAAAGTGGCTATGACCCAACTGATGATGGCGATGATCACGATGCCTTCATACTGTCAATAATCATACAACAATAGCTTGAAGCACTACCAACTTACCCACAGCAACCGTCATGTTTCCATGCGGTGAAACGGCGGACAAGATCTGGCCGCCAACTACGCAGTCGATCAAGCCATATCCCAGCATTTGAATCAGGTTCAAGATGACGATGAGTTTGCTGGGCCACCAACCCATTGAATAGCGCCCGAATGCCTAATATTATAGTGCTTAGCCAACGTTCTTTCAAAAGACAGTGTGTGAAAGCGTACCATGGTCCGAATACCAGAAATAGGGCCCCATGTGGCCATCCACGAGGACACGATGGCACCGACCAGAGCACCGAATACTCCGCAAAGAGCCGAGTCAAGGAAACTCAGTCCATACGTAGCAGGTCCCAGCATACCCAGTGTGATGTTGTTGGCCGCCAGATTGATCGAGACCCAAAGCAAGAAAGCCTGCAGGTAAGATACCCAAGTCAACTTGGACATCCGTTCATGCTCCTGCACCCGCTCTATACCACGAGCTTCCAGGTTATATTCGACGAGCTGCTGTTCGAATCGTCTAAGATATGCAGCCATTCTCGAAGAGGCAAACGGCCCCCCCGGCTGCCTCTGAACTCTTTTCTCGACATTTTCGGTAGGAGAAGTATCTTCTGTCGAACGGATTCTTGAGATTTCCTTCTCATAGGGAGACCCTAGGGTGGGGACAGTTTGCGGCGAAGACATCCTGACGCACAATGTCAGTTACATAACCGGAGAAGAGGTGGGGTATAAAGAGAAGAAAAGCGCGCATGAGTCCTTTCGCTGGAATTATCCAGATCAAGTTCAACCGTATAATCTCAGATCAACAAACGGGAGCCATCACAGTATCCGGCGAGTTAAGCAACCCTCCAGATATTAGCCCGGATAGTGTGTGTGACATCCAGTTGTTGAACACCGGTCTTCATGCAGGCACGCTACCTAGATACCTTGATCGACAGACAAAACCACGCTACTCGTCTTCATGATAGCCGTCCCTTGCATAAGGTTTCTGTAGGAAGGCGGGAGAGCTGTACTTGTTGCGATTGCACTGGATTCGTCGTGGCGATTACACCTGGTGGAACACATACGCCAATCGCACGTCAGTCAAACTTCTTCTGACAGTTTTCGAGAGATCGTAATGAATCTCGTTATTTCTTCTCATCGAAAGGAATTTACCAGTTTTGATCAATGCTATGCAGAAATCCCACACCAATCGCAGTCGTGCAGAATGCTAGCCAGTAATCTGACAGTAAGATGAGACGATTGCAGTTCCGGCGAGTGTAAGTGGAGCGGGTAGAAGATTCCACTCTGAGGCGATAAAATCGTAATCTGCCGCGGGGAGATTCGGTTTTCCAGGCGGGCGGATCTCCTCCGCTTTTCATCTTCCCCGACTTCGGATATAGTACTATCTATCCCACAACTACTCCCACTCGCCCTGATCGGCTTGTGCCGGCTAATGTTGAGCAACTAGCAACTACTAGCATATAGTGCTGACTACCTCGTCTACCTGCAGAATAACAAGTCCAACTTCAGCAACAACTCATATTGGTGACCACTACATGCTGGGACACCGAGAGTAAGCGTCTACTTATGTTTCCTTCTATTAGAAAGATTGAAAACTTTACAGCAAGCTTCAACGTGTTGTTGGGTGCGCGACAGGATTGATGTCCAGGGTGCGTTGCCCCCGCGGCGAAAAGCTGCTGCAAAGACCCGTCATGGAGTTACGCGAAACAAACAGTGGTATTCACCCAGGATATGAGGGGACAAGGAACAAGACGAAATAACCAGAAGAGGCGCTTGTAAGAAAAGAAAAAGTGGGAAATAGTCGACCAGACGGGACCAGCAGAAAGTAAAACGAAAGACGCAAGCCAACTCCGATAACCCTTCGCCCGATACTTTGCAAATTGTGGCTAACATTGAACATTGCGCTGACATCTTCAGCCTAAAACAATGTGAATCCAAAACTCATGCCCATCGTCGATTCGTTACATGTGCGGAAGACGATGCATTGGTCATCACGTCGTCAAGAGTTCGTAGGAAATCTAAAGGTCCTTGAAATGTTCTTTCGCATATTGTTCGCACGCCTGAATCATCATGTCAACAATCCAGCAAGGCATCTACAAGGCTCGGAGGTATTACCTTAGCTGGCTTTCCGACTTTCAGTCCAATCGCCTTCCATTTATTTGCATCGTATTCCCTAATCGCTTCCCGGAGTGCTACGGACTGTCCTTGGTTTAGCATCGCTTGACAAACAAAGTCGTACGTGAAGGGTCGTTACCTCGTCTTCAGCAAATTCGGCATAGTGCATGTCCTATCGTGGCATAAGTATCTGCATCCAGTCTTCGGAACAGAGCGACAACAATCTGCTTACTTTGTACCAATGTTTCTTGACGCTGCCTTCGGTCCGGGCAGGGAATGTCTGTAGCACCCGGGAAATTCAGGTCAGCATGCGTGACGTAGTGGATGGTACTGAAGCAGGGGAGCTTTATGCACCTTGGCAATCTCGCTCCAGGTGCGACCCGCGTCGCGCATGGTCTTCAGCCTCTGCTCTTCCTCGGCAGTCCACGGAGTGTTGGTCCTCCCCTTCTTCTTAGGGGCAGGCTCCGATCCTCCAGGCCC